CGCCGCCTCCTTCTTCACTGACCTTGGTGTCTGCAGAGTTGTTTCTCTCACACCTGCTCACTCCTCTCTCCGGCTGCAACTGTGCAGTTGGTTTTTTTTTTCCTCCCCTTCTTAAATATGTTATCCCAGAGGCGCTACCACCATCACTGATTGGCTCTGCCTTGGCCAGCAGTGGGTCCATCTTGGAGCCGGTTGGCATTGGCTCTGTTGGACATGGGGGAATCTTCTAGCAGCTTCCCACAGAAGCCACCCCTGTAGCCCCCCCACTACCAAAACCTTGCCACACAAACCCAGTACACATGGGCAAATACAATCTGTTTTCTCTTTGTGTTTTTTTAAATAATCTGTCAGTTCCTAACCTGCAAGCTTCTCTCTGTAAACCTGGTTGTACTTCTTGCCAAGATTCTCCTTTTTAGTTACCACTCAGACCACCGAACCTTTCTTTGAGTTTCCTAATTGCTTCTCCTTTTATCTTTATGCAACAAGTTTGGATTTCTAGCTCTTAAGAATATACATCACTTTCCCAATCTATGCCTCCAAGCATTTCATTCTCTTTCAGTCATACTATTTATTTTACCAAAGGTTCCAGCACTGATGCCGTTTGCATTTTATTTTCCGATTCCCATTCCTCCCCTTTCACCAAACCATGTTTCTTCATGAAATACCCATCCAGTATCCATTGACCAAAGGAGACTGCTAAGTGCCTAAGTTAGGAGGCCTGCCTAGATTCTGTAGGTGATAGAGAAAGTTTGCCCGTCAGAACAATTCCAAGCACCTCTGCTTGACAGTAGGACTATCCCACTCTGCTCCTCTAGCTTTCACTACATCTCTTTATTGAGTTTCTTTCTTAAATTACAGTGCTGCAGTGTCTACAATAGAATGACTTGAATGTCCCGATTCTCAGCTGCACAAACTCATATCTAAAATATAGAGCTTCCCTGACAATATTAATCTTTGCCTTATCTCCTTTGTCTCCCTTCTTTTGGTTCTTATCCTCACTTGAAAGTTATACCTCCTTCTACACTGTATAATCTTAAGAGCTACAATTTAGTTTTGCACAAATGGTGTGAGTGGTACTATTTACCAGTAGCATTGTATCTTTCTCTGCAGAGGTATTCTTAAAATCCCTCCCAATTTTTGTTCCTTCTTAATCTTGGTAGAAATAGAAAGGATCGCTTTTTCTAGCTCTAAGAATGCTAGGCTATTCAGAACAAATTTCTCTCTGATATACTGCTTCTGTGGTCCTCAGTGCTTTTTACCCTTGCTGTTGATAAAAGCAGCTGTTTAATGAGCAACATTCCCACTGAATTGATTGTGTGTCTGTCAAATGCAGTAAAACCTGTATTTTTCTTGTATTAGGGAAATAATTCCTAGTCTGTAACCTGAAACTCTTAGGCCACACTGCTGCATTCACTCAAATGTACAATATTTTGTCATAATTAAATAGCAAAAACTTTAGGGGTTCATCTTCATTACTTTCTTCTTTCGTTTTTTTCTATATTAATGTTTAGTAGTTACTCTCATTTTGAAAATGACAGAAATCCCTCAGCAGAAGAACAAGAATCCATTCTTACTCTAAGTACTTTAGCAACTAGTCGCCTCACTTAGACATTTAAAAGCTAGATGGCTGCATCTGAGCTACCTCAGGCTCACTGTAGAATCAATGGACGGAAATGGACACCCCTAGAATATAATTCATGTCAGTGAATGAGAATTTAAGATAGCTGAAATGACTAAGCATTTGGAGGCAGCTTTTTCTAACACAGAGTAGCTCAGACTTGAATGTCTAACTTTCAGAAATCTAAACTTAGATAAATTCTACCCCAGAACTCACTAAAATGCCTCATCTTTTTTTTTTTACTTGTACAACATGCAAATAGAACAACTTAGCTCTTATTTTTAAAGCAAATATCTAGCATTAAATGGAAGGATTTTTGGCTTTTAGTCTAGTTTCCGGTCATGATAACATCCAGACTATAATCTGTCTGAAATATCCTACTTTCATTAAATAAATCTAATATTCAAACTAAATTTTCTCATTTTGGCCATTCTGTTCCATTTTAGACTGATTTGCTGAAGTGTTGGATCCTGTATTTCCTAACCTTTTTAGCATGAACAGTCTAATACCTGTCTTCATCTGAGTTTGCTCCTACCGGGCAGTTCACATATGCCAATTCAAGAGCAAAACTCCTGTTATTTGAAAAAGGATATCTTTGTTCCAAAGGCAATGAGTTCCATGTTGTTTGAGCCTGGATAATCTGACCCATTTAAAATATTTTATCTTAACTGTGTTCTTCGGCAAGGTCAATTTCAAATATAGGCAGTTTCTGTGCAAAACTTTTGATTTCGTTTTGAAGGTGATATCTCAGCTCTGTAAGTCCATGTTACAGGATTTCTATTCAGAAATTCCAAGTTGGTCAAATCTATTCCTGGACCTCCCCATTTCATGAAACTTTCTAGTCTAGGACAATCTATCTTCTGGTCATCCTTTAAATTCTTTTTTGCTGTTCCATATTATGACTTCCCAAAATAATCTCAAATGCCTCTAGGAAGTTTCCAGATGATTTTTTAACTCCATTTTCTGTTCTGTTTCTTTTCTGGACTTCTTTGGCCATCTTTGTTATCTGCACAGACCTCAACTGCTCATTCCAGGTTGGTTCAATAGGATTCTATTCCATTTCCAATTACTTCCTTGGAAGTAATTTATTTTCCAGACAGTAGTTCACTTGAACAATTAACAAAAATCTGAGATTTTATGGATTTTGTTTGCTTAGACAAAGAACTTTATGTTAGAGTCAGAATTTTTTAAGTGAAGCTGTATTTATTACAGAGAAAGTAAACCATCATATATACCTGAATTTAAAGGAACAAAACAACAAGAGACATGATCAGTATTCATAGTTGTAAGCTTCTTTTCTACTCAACATTCTTTGCAAAGTTCTTTCAGTCAGCTTCCCTCAAGACCATATTTCTAGTGTTTCCTTTGTCAATATCCTTGGTTTTCCTTTTTTTTCAAGACCAGATGTACATATCTCTACCAGACAATGTCAGTTTGCTGTATCAAACCTGCTAATGGCCACTAGCCCCTTGGCTTGTGTGGTACAACTAACAGTTGATCAGAGTGGCCATTTTTCTGAAGAGGCTGGTACCTTCTGAAGAGGCTGGTACTTCTACCGGTACCTTCCCTTCTCTGCCTCCAACTCCTTTGCCTCTGACTCCTAAGCCATGCTGTTATGGTAAGATCAATAGGCACAACAGTATTTAGTGTCTAATTCTCATAGACACTCTTTGGTACTTAATGATTCCGGAAGAATGCAATCATCACAAACATTTCAATAATTTTCATGGTAAAAAAGAAACACGCAAATTTAAAATACGTTAATGATAATCCTTCATTCTGGCTAGTGAAGCACCCTTTAATAATGTCAACACAAGATGGCAGTAAACAAGTATAGAACATTTCATATAAACATTGTAGAGGAAATGACAGTATGGGTAACAGTGCCATAAAGAACTTCAGCAGAATTAAGTAGCTGTCAAATGAATCTGTCTGAACAGTTAGTTAACATTTATATGAGAGCTTAGTCTTGTTCATCTCTAAGAAATTAACTTTATTAATTGATTCTTTGTTAGATTGATTAAATATTTAGAATGCTGAAGCCACAGTTGGCAATTCTAGTTTAAAGAAAACTTTGGCCATGTGGTCATCTTTGATAGATTCTGCATGTTCAACTCTGCTTTCATTTTTAGTTGTCAAAGTTGACACATAGTTATGAAAAGCTACAGTCACATCAGTTAAAACAAAAAAAGGTTGAAAGTAGAGAAAAATACGAGGAAAGCCTGGAGACATCATCTGAACTGAGCAATTTGTACAAGAAACTGGAGGTAAGAATACTTTTTTATTATATTCTAATTTTAATATGCCTTTAGAACTAATTTGTGGTTTACAGTTGTAAACTTTAATTTCCTGGTAATTCTACAAAAATTATATAATTTTCTTGCTCTGGCAAGAAAAGGTGCATAGTTTAATATTCAGGTTTTGTTCTTTTATCCAAGTTTTATTAGTGTTTTTAGTAGTTTTATGGGTTAATATAGATAATTTTCTTCATAAGTGTAACCATAAATAACTTTTACTTTTTTCCTGATTAATATATGTGTACTGGATAATATAATCTGTTGAAGCATGAGAGCTTTTACATATGCAGGATACTGTCATATAGTACCTACCATTAATTCAAGTTTTATAGACAACTTTGACCATGTAGGACTAGACAGAAAAAGGATTTAAGATTGGAAAACTGTTTGTTATACACATAGCTTGTCAGCACCCATGTGCCTGAGGCAATCCACAACCTTGACCTCAGTACCTAGTTTCCGTAGGTAACACATGAGGAAGGATTAGGCACTTAAAAATACTTTCCACAGAATCCAGCATACTGAGTGGGAGCTAGATACTATGAGATGCTAAGGACGGGATTCAGTCATATTCCCTACCCCTCTGGACACAGAATGGATTTTAGCCAATTTATTCTTGGATACAGGAAGATACTGATTATAATTCCCAGCCTTGACTTCTCAGAGTTAGAAGTTACTTTATGATCTGTGGGATAATCAAATATTTATTGGGCCAACAGGAGAGTTAGCCAGCACAGAGAACTGGCATATAGAGAGTATGCCTCCAAGTACCTCCTTCTCCCCAAATACTCTTCTGGCTACATTCACTGGTGCAGAAACTGATATCCAGTCTCATTTCTTATAACTAAGTGATGTAATCTCTAGCTGTACTGATTTTTGCTTCTTCATTTTTACTTATCCAATAAATTTGCTGGTACCCTGTGCAAGGTGAAACATCTTCAAAAGGAAGAATTCCAGAGCCTGTGAAAAATAACATTTGTTTGTTAGGTAGAAAATTAACATGGGAAGATTCTGGTTCAGATTCTGTCTGGAGAGAAGATTATTAAACTGACTCTTCCACATATGGGGAGAACAGTCTAACCACTAGTCTGATGAAGCAGAGGAGGATCACAAAAAAAGTCACATTTTCTCTGGCCATCCTTTGTAAAAAGCATAATAAAGTAGCGTGTGCTT